AACGATGTTCTGTTTTTCTTCGATATGCCCAAAGCCCTAAGTCTTCATTTAACACCCTTTTCACCGTGGTTCTGCTTAACCCCATCTGAAGGGCCAACAGTTTCTGCTTACGTTTGGGATTTCTTTGAATTCGCGCCTTCACAGCTATCACTGCTGGAGTCCTAACAGACCGAGGGCGACCACTTCTTGACCTGTCATCTACACTAGAGTCTTCATTGTATCGTTTGATGGTACGATAAACGAATCTTTTGGTTAATTCAAATTTTTCAGTATGTCAAAAATTTGAATTGGCGCATAACCGCAACGATGCAACGCAATAACTGCAACACGGTCTTCTTTAAGCGTCCGCTCCATATTTAAAAATGAGTAAAATTCTTAAAAGTAGACAGTTTTATTTTCATGAACAATTCGAAATTCGAATTCAATAAACGTTTTTGGGGCCAGCATTTTAAAAGAAAAGTTTTTACTGTGTGACAATACTTATGACCTGACTAGGTATATACATTTTATTCACATAAATATATATATATATATATATATATATATAAAATATATATAAACATTCACGCCTGTCACCCAGAGGGGTAGGCAGAGACTATGGACTTCCCACACCTCTCTCGCCTCCTCCACATCCATATACCTATGCATACACGCTCGTCGGTCAAAGGTACTCTTGATTTGGCCCATTTTCAATATATGAATAAAATGTGACCTTTGAAATATTAAATATTGATTAACTGGTAGAAAATGCTTATAGGCATTGAGTCTCCCCTTTGTATCCTTATTATTGAGAATGCAATAAAGATTAAAAATTAATAAAAACATAAAATTGGGATTTTTATATTTTTTTATTGAGGTTTGTAAGAGGAGACTGCGAAATGCCAGGGTCTTTATTTACATTCTGTAGCCAATAAGATTATCTAATAAAATCATATATTTTAATTTTTATAATTTTACCTTGACTGCCACAAGTTACAAGTGTATACACTATTTTCAGATATTATAATGTCACCGTAGAATATCTCTTCGAAGCGCTGTACAGATTTTGCGCTTTTAATTTTAACCAGACCCGAGGAATATTTTAGCTTCTCTGTCTCAAAAATCTCCTTCTTTTTTTGAACGTCTGGTTCTGCCAGATTTGCTGTATCGTGAATCCACCTGTCGAGCGTCCTTCCCACATCTCAAGTCCATTTTATATGAATGTATTATTTTATGTATTGTTTATAATTTTGCATATCATTTCTTAATACTGAATAGCTTCAACCTTTTGAACCTTTGTTAACACAAACATGTATACGCAAATAAAGAGTTAATCATAATATTGTCACGACAGTCGGTTGCGTATTACGTCACATTGTACGAGAATGTTCCCGAAGAAAAGTAATAACATGACGGGACTATAAATGCAATCAAAACAATAAGGAATCTTATGCTTACGTTTTTAAGGTCTTTACTCCTTTAGATATAGTTATCATTATGTTGTTTCGAATGTTCTAGTACTTTCCGGTTGAAAGAGTGGAATGACATGGATTGGCGTTTTACGGGATATATTCGTCAATGTGTCTTTGATGTCAAAATTTCAACCGATTTTGATGATTCTTAGTCATCAAGTAGTATACACTTCAGGGTTTATCCCATAAAAAATTGTAATAATTCACCCCTTTGTGTGGCAATACAGGGGACGAAAATTTTAATGGAAATATTTAGACGAGATTGAGATTGTGATATACTTTAGTCCAATTAAAAATCTAAAAAACTATTGGTAAATCCAATTGTGCATGCTCTAAGCGCATTAAAAAAATTACGTATAACATGATTATACGGAATTTTTTAAAAGTAGTTTTTTTTTATCGGATAGGGTGACAAACGAGCACACAGTCCACCTGATGGTAAGTGGTTACTGTGACCCATAGACATCTACATCTATCCTCAATAAAGACAAATGCAGATGCGTTGTACCCGTGAGGACTAAGATGAAATGCCTCTTTGCCAGTAAAAAGGCTCTCCGGTTCTCTACACTCACCATACAAAACACAGCAGCGTTAAGCTGCTATTTTACGCTGGTTTTCTGTGAGAGCGTGGTCCTTCCCCGGTCGAGCCGACCTATTCGTGCTACAACTATACTACTAATATAGCTGCAGCATGGCTCAACCACGTAAACACACTAGTTTTCACTAATAACCCTATTATAGGTACTTCTAACTTTCCAATAATTTTATGTCAAACTTCAATTTAATAAAATTTTAGAAAATCCAAAAGTGCACAACTCATAATGCTCATATGATCATCATATCATCATTCAGGTCACTCCATAAATTCCAAGACGTATTCAAGTATAAATATATACGTCCTACTTACTATTATTACGTACTACTATTATTTATTTTGTGGTTTTACATTACTTATTTAAAATATTGTAATAAAAATCTCTGATTATTATAATAATCAGGCATGTATGAAATTTTGTTTTTCGAATATATTGTATTTGTACAGCGATCTTTTTGAGCCGCTGCAAACAACCGATACAGTATTCACTCACGACGGCGTTTGACGCCGAAGTGAGTGAGTGAGGCAGTCTACGAGTATTTAGTAAAATAAATTAAAACAAAGCTGCCAAAACACCGAAAATTTTGACATTTCGTAGCTGAAAAAATTAATTATAACTAAACAAAACAAAATTAAACTGCCATTTACATTCCATGGCTTCCCACATGATAGGTGAAGAGATTAGAAAATAGATTGAGTTGAAGAATTGATGACTTCAAAAGTTATCGTGTTTACGCCGCCATGCGGACTTAATACGAGTACATCCACACCATTAGCCACTAACCCCCTTTTTATGTAAAAATAGCAATTAATCGATTTAAAAAATATTAATAAGTTCAACAATTATTTATCTTTCTGACAATTTGCTTTTTATATCATTTATATGTATAATATTATTGCTAGATATGATTTCATGCGACAAAACGTTGGAATATTTATTTTTAGGCCCTAGCAGAACATACCTGCGCGCTTCGCACTTAAGGCATGCAAAAGTTTTTTTTTTAATAAAAAGTAATAGTAGAATTTAAACAACTATAAAGAATGAAATAATTTTTTTTTTTTAAATTTAAATTAAAGAGTTGGGACCTTAATTTTTCTATACAATATGTATTAGCACCGACTCCAGATTATAAAATTATTTTATTATTTTTAGTTGTTTGAAATTAGCTTTTAATTAAAAGTTAATGTTTTACATTTATGGTTTTGGAGGGATAGAATATGACTCGTTACAACGTGCAATCTAAATCAACTCAATAAATCACTTTCTCTTAGTGTAAAAAGAAAATAAATGTCGGTAATTTCTTTCGCTTTATTAAGGTGAAATTACTGAAATTTTAATAAACCCTTACTTTATGGCTTTATCCTCTTGTTACTAAGGGGCAACGCTTTTCAAATTGAAGTAGCTCAAGCCTCTACATCAAAAGCACGCAACTTACGATTCGTTCTGCCATAAATGGATTAAACTTAAATTGGCTTTAATTTCATTAAGTTATTGACGTATCTTGAAAGAACATTTAGAAGTTATTTAAATGCATTTCTGATTTATGTTATTTAGCATCATCCATCCATCCATTACAGCCTATAAAAGTTCACTGCTGAACATAGGCCTCTTCCATAGATTGTCTCATAGGGAAGATTTAGCCATACGTACAATGCTTGGCAGGCGGCTTGGCAAACCGCAGGTTTTTTTATAATTTTGATTTGTTATCATGAAGACGCTGCTGTCCATCTCCTGTTTGATTTTCCCTCTGTTATCTCTTATGACAGCCACGGGACGATAATATGGCGATAGAAGTTCTTGCACCACCACAATACGAATCCACACTTGTTTGACAGTCATTGTTTAATCATTACCAGTAAATATCACCAGTTTTTTGGCCATATATTCAGCATATAGACTGTTTGCTTTGTTTTATGTAGAGACATTCTTTTTTTCCTAAAAATATTTACGGCCCGTTGTATACGTCACGTGAGAATGAAATCTGGAACTATTTTATCAAAGAATGTAGTCTAATAATGTTGGATATGCTAAAAACACACACAAGCGTTAATTGTTAGTATTTTTTTTTAATTTAAACGCATTTTACACAATGAACTGAACTAATTTTTATCACGTTTAATTTTAATTTGGTGTCATGTTCAAGTCAGCATTTCCAATCTTAATTGAGAATCCTTGTAGAATGGCAGTGTTTATGCATCACAGTATCCACATTCCATAAGGTAGACTATGTGCTTCTATAAAAAGCAAACTCCAAATCCCCCAAGATCATAGGTGCTACAAAGAACTTGCAAAGTCGGTTGTAAAAAAGGACAGAAAATTTTATTCAAAGAATACGTTTAAATATTTTATATTATGACCGGTTATGAACAAAATCCTACAATTTTCTTTTTCATATCTTTGCCTTTACTCAACATTGAGCGTGATAATTTGAATTATTGTCACTATCAGGCGTGGATAACGGGCGACGGTGAAATCCCAGAGGATTGCTAACAATATATAAAATCATACAACGCGTTGCGTTTATTTTGCTCAGACCAAAACTGACATTATATAGGTAAATGTTAGAATCAGTGAAATGCATTTTTACTTGATGTTTCCATCTTTTGAACACCAGCTTAAAATAGCAGCTTTATGCTAGCGTGTTTTATAAGGTGAGTTTAGAGAACCGGAGACCCTTTTTAATGGAAACGAGGGGTTGTTGAAGCGCCTGCGCCTTCTTTCTGCGCAAAGAGTTAAACAACGTACTTGAAGTAATTACGTCCATACTTAACGTTAATTTTAAACAGGTTTTTATCTTTGCAATATTTTATTACCCTCTCAGCTGTTGTCAATACAATCGTCCAAGACCACATTCAAGTTGCATTATTTTTAAATTCCCGTAAACTCCCGAACAGGGGTTTCTTACGATAGAGGTGGCTCTTTTATCTTAGTAAAAAGCAACCTAGAATATGATATGTATGAGGATATGCGGTCTTTAGCTACAGAAAAAGTATTTAAATGTTGCGGTATCTCATTGTCTGGGGAAAAATTATTAGTACTTTGCATATATCGGACTCCTGAAAGTGATATTAGCATCTTTTTCGAAAAATTTGAAAAATTATTACTAAAAGTCAGCTACAAAAATAATTTCAAGACTGTAATTTGTGGTGATTTTAATATAGATCTCCTCCCAAATGCTAAAAATCATACGATATCTTATCAATTTAACGAAATAATAAGCTCTTATAATTTCAGTCCTATGATATCAGAGCCGACAAGAATAACTAAGGTAGCTAAAACATGTATAGATAATATTTTGTGTAATTTTAAAGGTGGAATTCTTAGTATATATGAATTAAAATTATCAGACCACACCAGGAAATCATTATCTATTCCTTTAATACGAAGGCAAAATGTAAAATTCTGGTTTACATACCGACGAGATAACATTTCTTACTCAGAGGTAATTTCAGAACAAGTTAATGTAAACATAGCCTACAACAGCTTTGTAAATACATATAAATTATTCTTTGACTTTTGTTTCCCTAAATGTAAAATGCCATCAAAAACATAAATTGTAAAAAAAAAACCAAGTCTCGCAACTCAGTTCTTCTACCGTAAAAAGTTGTGAGATCCATGTAATACCAAGTCGGTTAATTTATTCAGTCCCTACTTAAGGGTCCTTCTGTCTTAAGTTATTACGTAATTAGCTAACTTAACAACATCTCATAGTGACCACATTAATACTAAAAATCTTTTATATTTTTAATTCGTACTACAACTATACTACTAATATAGCTGCAGCATGGCTCTACCACGTATATATATAAGTCTTGGGCTTAACTGTTGACACTCATTGTAGCTGGTAATCACATTTAAATGAACTTAGTGCCAAGCTTTCAAAATTCGTCTACCCTTTGAAAAGAATAATTTCTAACACGTCTGTTAAAGCAGGATTGATGTCACACCATGGTTATATACAATCACTTTTAGCCTATGGCATAATTTTTTTATAGGATAAGGGTGACAAACGAGCACACAGTTCACCTGATGGTAAGTGGTTGCTGTGGCCCATAGACATCTACATCTATCTTCGATTACGAATCTAAATGCAGATGCGTTGTCACCCGTGAGGACTAAGATGGAAAGCCTCGTTGCCAGTAAATAAGGTCTCCGGTTCTCTACACTCACCATACGAAACAGCGTTAAGCTGCTATTTTACGCTGGTATTCTGTGAGAGCGTGGTCCTTCCCCGGTCGAGCCGACCCATTCGTGCTACAACCATAATATAGCTGCAGCGTGGCTCTACCACGTATATTTAATTTATAATTTTCTTGGGCAACGCCTCAAACACCGGCAGGGTATTTAAAATGCAAAAAAGTGCATTAGAGCTATGTGCGGGGCTCCTCAGGGTGACTCTTGGAGAACGCTTTTTAAGAAACTGGGCATTTTGCCACTAAACTGCTTATACATTAAAGAGATCTTTATTTGTACACAAATATGAATACTTATTTGAAATGCCTAAAAATCCCAAGAAGCCTTATAAAATAACAAGTTTATTAAAGCTTTTTAAAAAGTTACTTCGCAAACATCCGCTCTATAAAATGAAATGATGTGTCTTACCTAGTACGAAAAGCACCTCCTGTCCTCCCTCAATCGCGTGCACTATCCCCGTCACCCCTAATCCCAGCACCACTACTCCCAACACCACTACACTAGGATTTTCCTGCACGCAATTGAGGGAAGGCGGGAGGTGCTCTTCATACTAGGTAAGATTCATACCGGAAATATAACGGAATCCCGCAAAGTAACGCCCGATTCTATTAATTATAATAACAAGTTCGTTTTATCTGAAAACAGTACAATATACTAAAAGCATTTACATGCCATTAAAATTTACAATAATATTCCTGATTCTTTTAAAAAATATGGATGATATAAAATTTAAAAAGGTACCGATCACGTGGCTATTGGATAAATAATTCTAAAGCTTACAAGAATTTATAGACAATAAAGATTAAATAAAATAAAGTTTCTTTTTAATAGGAATGGGTGACAAACGAGCACATAGTCCACGTGATGGTAAGTGGTTGCTGTGGCATCTACATCTATCTTTGTTTGCGAATCAAAATGCAGATGCGTTGTCACCCGTGAGGACTGTATATAAAATAATATTGTATATTATGGTAAAATTAAATAAGACCTTAAGATTATGTTATGTACATTTGTGTTCCATAGTCTACCTATTTCAGGTGTATATATTAAGTCCTAATTATATTTATAAATTAACCAATATTTTTATTAAATATATAGATTAATTCATTAAAGCCATCGTAATTTTTTTATTAAATTATTATAATTATAATATATGATGTCAATTTTCTATACTAAAAATATCTTACTTACGGATTTACCCTTTTCCTTATAATTTTGCCTTAGTATTCAAAAATTTGTTGGAATAATTAAATAATCTAACCACAATCTAACACTTAGCTTAACGCTGCTGTGTTTCGTATGGTGAGTGTAGAGAACCGGAGACCCTTTTTACTGGAAAAGAGGCATTCTATCTTAGACCTCACGGCTGACAACGCATCTGCATTTTAATTCGTAAACGAAGGTAAATGTAGATGTCTATGGGCCACAGCAATCACTTACCATCAGGTGGATTGTGTGCTCGTTTGTCACCATTATTCTATAAAAAAAGTAGCTGATATTTAAATCTTCAATATAAGATATATTTGAACTTCGTTCACGCCAGGCCCAAGCTTGTATGGAACCAAGTTCATCTCCTTTCTACGGTAGGCTGTGAAGTCTAAACATATTTACTATAGCATCGTTTAATATGTATATTTAATCCCCTTTTACCTTTAAACAGCCTACCCTCGGTACAATTTTGACACTGTAGGAAATCCGGCTGTGAATGTAGCGGAGCGCATACACATACGGTGAGGAGGTCTTCACCATTCTCATTTATACTTTCATCGTCAAACGTTCCTAATATCCTTACATAAACAGACCTCTTCACCCCAACCGTTCCGTTACAATCTCCTAACATAACAATATTTTCATTGACTTTACATTTCATCAACACCAGCTTTAACATGTCCCAAACTGCTCTCGGATATAAATGGGCTTAGACATAACTGGGGCGTACACCCCTAGCACAAACAACTTCTTTAAGCACATTTTAACACATTCATACTCTTTCACACATTGACCCATTCTTTCTGATAGGATGACACCGACTCCCTGGAGTGCCCGCTCGGTCTTGTCTACACCAGACAAGTAAGCGGTATACATGCCATGTGAAGTGGTATCCCTTCCCTTTCGTTTTGTCTCATTTACACATGACACATCTATTCCTCTCTCATTCATTAATTCGCATACTTCATCCATCTAACATTCTATTATAAATATCATTTATTTGTTGGCTCATGATGCGAACTAAGGGGTGGTAGATTTTACAATGCTACCATACGGCGAGGAGACAAGTCTATCCTTTCGGCTTTGTCCCTCGTTTAGCCTCACCCGGGCGACACGTGTAGGGCGGGCCTAGGGTTAGGTGGTCGAAGCCTACGGATGCGAGCGACTCATCCCCCACTTATTTCCACCGCTCAAAACCAAAACTTGCACTACTCTGAAAGGTATATAGAAAATGAGTATAATAAAAGATTGTGAGGCATTCCATCTTCATCCTCGGAAATGGCAACGCATCTGTAGCTTTTTTTTTGAAGTTGACTGCTGGTGTCCATGGACTGCAGTAACCAGTTATCACTTAGAGAATTGTAAGTTCGTTTATCGCAAAATTTTTGTAAATAACCTATTTACATAAACTTAGAGAATAATAAAGCAATTAAATTACCCTTCCTAGGCAGTTGGGTAAAAAGAGTGAAAAACATTAATTCACAAATGCTTACAAATGTCGATATAAAGTGTGACAAGGTTCCTGCGAAAAAGGACCTAATCTAAATTTAACCTAGATTTTAAGGTTCGTAAATTCTTTACGCGTGTTTTATTATTGCAGCAGAGAGTAACAGGAGAGCTTTTAGTGAAATTACTTTCGGAATTGAATTCGTGTGAATTGCTTACAAAGATTTATTATGAACGATTGGTAGTTAGGCATTTTATGTGCACTCCTAAAAAATAAAGATGGATTGCAGTTGCAAAGAGACCACTGACTCAGCATAATGCTACAGTAACAGAGTTACAGCAGCGTTGATATTTTGTCGGAGCCAAATAAATTGACTCACGAGCAATCGTTGGGTATAATTAATTACATGTTATAACTTATAATCATTAAGTACTTATACATAGTTCACATGAAATCTAATAGTTATAAGTATTATATATTATGCACAATAAACTACCTACCTTTGTGCTATGTTATGTAATTTCGGAGTGATACCTACCGCCAAACGATTTTCAATAGAGTTACAGGTAGCTTAAGAGCCAGTGAGCGGCGGACTTACGGTATTTCAATAAGCTTCACTTTTTTTTCAGTTAATCCCCTATACCTGAGGTACATGAAACGGGGAATCTTTAGTTTGAGCGGCGGTTGATATAGGGACGCTCAGGTGTTAAAGGTGTAAAAAATGACCCAAAAAAAACGTGATATCAATAAGTCTGCCGCTTTAACATCTTGAAATATTTAATAAAACTTACCGAAAAATAACATTGGCAGACACCTATGACGGTTTCAAGGTCATGGCAGACAGGTTGAAAACTACAATTTTTTATTAATAATTTATGTTATTTCAATAAAGCTGCAATTTACGAGTATATATATTGTTGATAATATTATTTGACATGTATAATTTTCACGGCAGACACATATTGTGGTTGTATCACCCAGGCAGACAACAAACTTCTGGGGCGCCCATAAGCGCGTACTATAATAGCGTTCGCTGTCATCCCGTCTTTTTCTTTCTAGTTTTGTACGCTCTGATACGGATATCATAACTACACAACTGCAACACCAAGGGAACCAGGAGAATTGCAGATGAGTTGCCAGCCTTTTAAAAAGGAGTAAGCTCTTTTCTTAAAGGTCCCTAAGTCGTATCAGTACGGAAAAATCGCTGATGGTAATCGATTCCACAAGGTAGTCGTGCGAGGAAGAAACATCTTCTAATTCGCACAGTGGTGGACCGTCAATCATCCAGATGGTGTGGATAGTATCGGAAGTTCTGCCGCGATGTGCGTTCGTGAAATTTGGCGGCTGAGATTAATCCGAACAATTCCTCAGAGCACTCCCCGTGGTAAATGCGAAAGAAAATGTAAAGGGATGCAACATCTCTTCGCAGTGCCAATGAATCGAGCCGATTGGAAAGAACTCGGTCGTCGACGACTCGAGCAGCTCTACGCTGGATGCGGTCAAGTGGAAGGAGCTGGCACTGGGGAGCCCCTGCCCAGAAATAGGAACAGTATTCCATGTGAGGCCAAACCTGCGCCTTTTAAAGTTGCAGGCGGTGTGCCGGCATGAAATACTGACCCGCTCTGCTGAGCACGCCA